CGCACGTGAACAGTTGCAACACAAATGTATTGCCGGAATTTAGGGGTTATGGGTGGTGATTTGGGGGATTTGAATGGTCCAACGAAAAGAAGATGGAGGACGGATAAAAAGGACTTTTCAAGGAGAGTTTATTTATTTCTTTATTTCTTCTTCACAAAAAATAACAGTGAATGGCGGACTTAATGCGTTAAGGCATTTTCTTATAGTCAATCATAGGGAAGAGTGACTTTATAATTTGGAACAGTCTAGTGTATTGTATGTGGGGTATGTGTGTCTCTCCAAATTTTCACCCAAATCAACATAACGGTTTCATATTGTTCGATATCCGCTAGGTACCTATTTCACGCCGGAAATTTGTTTTAAAATTGCAATACACATAATATGAAACCACTGACACAGTGTTGATGTCAGTTTTGTTTAAAAAAACTTGAATAATAATTTACTGAAGTAAATGTACAAAATGTTTGAACCGATTACCAATTTTCAACCGTTATCGTCAGGACAAGTCCTTTGGTCGGATCTAACCCTTAACCCCTTTTTTGAGGGGGGAAAATAATCCAATGACTTCTCCCGCCTTAGGTTAGGCTAGAGTCAGACTCGGTTGGAAGTCGATGGTTGTTTTCGAAAAAAATAGCTATCTTAATGAATGTTTTCAAACAAACATTTGTTTCTTTGAATACTTAAACGGTGAATCGAACTGAAGAAGTCATTATTTACTTCAAAATGAAGCATGAAAGTACACATACATAGCATTTCTTTTTAAGATGGATAGTCGTTAAATGACTTCTCCCGCCTGGGTGAGGCGGGAGGGAGTGTCAGACTCTTACTGACTAAAAACCACCCCGTTCCTTCTCCTGCTCTTCAAGTCGGAGCTCTGGTAACCCGTTACGCCTTCCGCGGCTCTATAGGAATATATCTCTTATCATCATCAACAGCCTTCTCCAAAAGAAATGTTTACCAGACGTCTGCACCGCAAACAGTCGTAGACAAGCAGCTTATAGGCGCCTTCTTCTTGGCGCCGCCGTCACTCTTTGTCTTAGTAGCCTGGCGCCCTAGGCACCTGCCTGATTTGCTTTAGAGATAATATGATTTTGGGCGGATCGGAGATCACATTGAAAGTATTAGGTATATCAGAGAATGCTGCTGCCTGATCTCTGATGGATATGTAGTCTCTTAATTAGCTCTTATGATACACACGGAAGACAAAAGGTACACATGTTTTAAAATAGTATGTTAAAAGACGTTCTGTGGAGCATGCTCAAAAATGTTCAAAAATCGAACGCCTGTCTGTCGTAAACATGCCAGAAATGAGCATTCTAATTTTGAACAACATTCCGACATTACCTAACAATAGGAATAAGATTATGAAAGGAATTAATAAAAAATATGTAAACGGTAACCACATTTGATTCCAGACCTTGAACCTGAATAATTAAGATCGCTAATCGCTTACACCATTACCTAAGAACGCTGTTGTTTAGAAATGCAGATACACTTCTAATAAATCGAATGTCATCTTGATTTTGTGACTAATGTTTTCTTACCTTTGGTATGTTGATTGATATCGAAGTAGGAAATGGTTAGCATTTAGATCTAGATTGATAAATCTAAAGTCCTGGGAATGGAATCTTTATTACAATTTATCATCATCAATAGCCTGTCTACAACTGGACTGACTCTCGAGCGTACGAGGGTCGAGTTCCGCGCGCGCTTCAAAAACTGATGCCCGATCCGGTACTACGGACAACTTAACCAAGTCAAGTTCACCCTCGACTCCACGGCGCCTAAAAACAGATTATCTTATTGATGTCAAATCGGCCTAACACAATGACCTGCGTGAAAGTGGATTTTCATACAAAACTTCGTGCACTATCGAAATTATACGGAGACTATTTTGAATAAATAGTATCTAGAACTATAGGGTAGACGGCTCTGCTTAGTACGGGCTCCTGTCTCCCATTAACTCGTCGAGTACCGGTTTTGTAGACACAATTATAGAACAATATGTTGCGGTCACCGGTGACCGCTTGGTGTTTGACAGTTTAATTGCTGAACTTATAAACATTTGTAAAAACTTTGTTGTTACTTACCTACCTAAAGTATGTTTTGTCTTGTTATGATTTTATATATTATGTAACATGGGAGAAAAATTTCTTCGCAACTATACTTCAAAGGCCGAAAGAAAACTAAAGTATCGCTGATAATAAAAATCCGCTCTCAGCCTTCAAGAGACGAGAATATATCATAATTAGAGGCCGCCGTGGAAACATAAATTAAACGGGGGCCGGGGAGTCGACAGTAGACTAGACAGAATGAAGTAGCCAGACACAATTTTATTATAATACTTATAACTTATATAAATATTTATTAATGAAGATATATTTATTAGTGAAACTGTCAATACCGTAGACGCTTCATTCATTCAGAGTCACGATCGGAAACAAAGAAATTCCTTTATAAATATTCATGGAAAAAGTTGATTTTCCTGCATCTAAGTGCTCATAGTAATAGATGTAATACTTGACACGGAAGTGAGTAAAGAATGGTAGATTATAGTACTAAAGGTTATTGTCTATTTAGTCCAATTAATTATTGTGATAATTACAACGTGTCTTGAGATGTGATAGGAATGATATTGTTGATCAAAGATGCGGTTTTTATTTTTAAATGGTTAAGATGTGATGCAAATTATGTTCATCGTTGAATTCGAAGTATTTTGTTTTTTTTTGGCATAGAATTGTCTATCTCTAAGTAAGTGTCTATTTGTAATATTTGAATAATAGCTTTTTAGTACACGCATAACAATACAATACATATTATATACCAAAATATATTTTTTGTAGTTTTCTCTTCCTGTGTGTTTGTTTTGACTTATCTCCAAAATGACTGGACCGATTTTGACGGGAGTTTTATTAGCAGGTAGCTGATTTACTTAATGAGTAACTTGAGGCTGGTTTATTGACAAAGTCGCGCGTGCACTCGCATTACCATCGTATAATATTAATATTTTTGTGTGCAAATAATTTTTGGCTAAAAATCTGTTGAGTTTTCAAGTCGTAGAACAAAAGTTAGCTTATGATGTTAGCACTACGGTCATCCAAGGTTTATCTTTAGTTACAAATAGTCCTGTATGTTTAAAATAATCTTTTTTCTTCTCAAAATATTAACTATCCATTGTACTTATATGGTGAAAGTGTATGTTTTGTACAATTATCACAATTGTAACGTGTTCACACGACACCGTGCCGTAAGATAGTTAGTTAAACATCATTATTGTTTTTTAATTAAGGAATATTGTGGATGTTGGACATTGTTCAGATCTGATAGATGTTGCTCCTATTTTATAATACAAAAGTCAGTATTATACAAACTTAATTATACAGTTTTTTTCTAATAAATTGAACTTGAGTTGCCCTAAGGGCTATATTTCAACGGGACACCATGGTGGCTCAACTACCAACTAAATGTATACAGGAATGTATACTCAAGTGTGGGAGAGCCAGCCGGCGCGAATGGGCCGGCTCGACCAGAGTGCTACCACGGCCTCACAGAAAACCGAAGTAAAACAACGACTGCGTTGTGTTTCGTCGTATGAGTGAGGCAATTTCCTCCCTCTCCAGTCTCCCCAAACCCCGAATCCCCCGCAATCCACAAATTCCCAATTCCCAAAAGGCTGATAACGCACTTGTAACGCCTCTGGTGTTTAAGGTATCCATGGGCAGACCCAATTGCTTACCATCAGGTGATCCGTCTGCTCGTTTACCGGCTTATGCCATAAAAAAGCCTCACAGATTTTATTATAGATTAGAAATTTAATGGAATTTGAACATATCTGTGTGAAAATGATACATAGTCACAAACAAAATACGAGATTTATATTTATTTTTATCATTCAGACATATTTATTTCTAACGTATGATTATGACAATAATGCACTTTACGTACTCATTATTACAGTCTTAATTACTATTGTCGTAGCAGTCGGAAAAGTCACCATCTTTGATATTTGATCTGTCACTTGCACAAATTATTATAATATGACGTGCTATGTTGCAGGCAAAGTCTTTGTTCATGTTAATGGGACGTTATGTACGCAAAACAATAATCGTAAGGACGCAAGTGCGACTGCCGGGCAAGAGGTCTCGGGCTTTATTCCAGGTCGGGCTAAGTACTGCTGGGATTAAAAAAAATCTCAATAGTAGCACGGAGTCTGGAATTGTGCCCGGTATATACCGGACTCCGGTACGGTATATACCCTAATACCCTCTATTACACGGGAACATAAATCGTGAAAAGGGTGTTACATTGTACAGTGGCATTACGAGCACTTCTGCCTACTCCTTCAAGGATAAAAGGCGGGATGATATTTTTTTTTAGAAAAAAAAATTGAAATTTCTATTGAAAAAGCAAAAATTGCAAGCTTGTGATTCAAGATAATGACTGTATTGGAAGTATTAAGAATTTTTATGGCACACAAACGGTTCTAGGTATTAGAAGGAAGGAGAGGATAAATTTTATTTATGTTTTCTTACTCAAAGTTTATTTTTATGGGATAAAAAACCAGACAACGAGCAGACAGATCACCTGATGGTAAGTAATCGGCATCGCCTATGGATATCCGAAACACCAGAGGCGTTTCAAGTGCGTTACCGGCCTTTTGGGGATTAAGAATTTGAGGATTGTTGGGGATTCCGGACTCCGGTAACCTCACTTGCACGACGAAACACAACACAAGCGTTGCATAAACCATCATGTCGGTTTTCCATAGCTGCCGAAGTTGTTGGAATCGAATCAATAGAAAACAAATGACAATTGCGATTTTTAACATGAATGCTTTCAAACTCTCGTGTTGTCGAATTTCGCTTCTGTCATTTGTTTTAAACTTACTATAATGGGTAATTGTCCCACACAAATAATTGTATCAACAAATTCCCTCATACTCCCCATTTAAAAAAATGTACCTACTGTGCTAAATAAATCTTATTTTCTTTTCAGAGACAATGAATTCCGGGTGGTTAGCTTGGGAGTGTATAGTGTTCGGTATATTCGTGTGTGCATCATCCTGTGCTCCTCTGTGGAGGAGGAGGAAGGATGCAGCAGCTGGTGGCAGTGCCAAGCAAGCGTATATCTTCGCTGGAGGCGGTGTCTCTACCCTGGCTATGATATTATCGGTGGCTAGAGGGACGCTCGGAGTGAGATCGTTTTTAGGTAAGTCTATCGTGATTTTTTGCGGTATATTATATTACGGGATGTAAGTGGAATGCTCCCCAAAAACAAAGATATATAAGATGATAAAAAACTAGATTTATTATCTAGAACAAAAAACTAGATTTATTAACTAGATTTATATGATGATAAAAAACTAGATTTATTAAAAAGGAAGAAAGAAAGTATGAAAGAAAAAAAACTTTATTTCACTCCAAAAAGCAAGTGAAATGTACAAAAAAGTCATTGTATTAGTAGGTACTGATGGATACATGTTCATGTCTCAAGTCTGCCGTGAAATGGGACCATTTCAGCATGTGCAAGACAGGGCCTTGCGCTGGTATACTCCTTAAGTGACTCGCGGACGAACAAGCCACCAATCAGACATTAACAGTTTAGATGAAATAAATTGATTAAACAAACATAATAAATTTACAAAGTAAATGAAGAGATAAAATAAAAAATATAGTAATTTAACAAAATAAATGAATAGATAAAATGGAATTAAATATAATCCTTTAAAGTATGTATGTAATAATAGTTGTATATAATAACTGCACAAGGCTGATGTTTCATGAAAACAAATACGATTATCATTGTAAAAACAAACAATATTTGTCTACGTTTTTGGAAGCTTTCCGTTTACAAACAAACGTAACATCACGCCTTTTATTCCCGAAGGGGTAGGCAGAGGTGCACATTATGCCACTGTATAATGTAACACCCACTTTTCACTATTTATGTTATGAGTTCCATGTAATAATAGGGGGTGAACCTATTGCCATATACTGGGCACAATTCCAGACTCCGTGTTACTACTGAGATTTTTTTTTAAAACCCAGTAATACTTAGCCCGACCCGAGAATCGAACCCGACACCCCTTGCCTGGCAGTCGCACTTGCGACCACTCGGCCAACGATGCAGTCTTCCGTTTACATCCTGTATATACCTATAAAGGGTTTAATTGGTCATAGTCGTTACTGTGGGTTTAATTTAATCAATGAAAGAAAGGCAGACCTATTACTTACAATCTACAGTGGTCGAGGAGGCAGTAGATTCACAATCTTAAAATATTCCCGAGCGTACGGCGCATCGCGTTCCGCGCGCGCCTCAAAGAGCCATCAGACCACCACAGATGGGGCCCAATAGGGCCGATGCCGATTCGGAGTCGCGGAGAAACTAACGGGTAACCGGGGCTCCGGCTCGACGTGCAGGAGAAGGAACGGGGTGGTTTTTAGTCAGTAAGAGTCTGACACTCCCTTCCGCCTCACCCAAGCGGGAGCAGTCATTCGATGATTTTCCCCCTTAAAAAAAAAAAAAAATTGGTCATAGTCGTTACTGTGGGTTTAATTTAATCAATGAAAGAAAGGCAGACCTATTACTTACAATCTACAGTGGTCAAGGCAGTAGATTTACAATCTTAAAATATTACTCAAATATAAAAAGTATGTACATATGTAGGTAACATAAGAAAGGAGTAAGTACAACTATACGTGTCCACTAATCGTGACTTTGCATTTATTTATTTTTTTAATACAACGTTGCCCCACATTAGGATTTTCTCCTGTATCGTGGGTGCGTTTACAAACATACAATATCACATACACATGACACCCAGACCCGAAACCACAATTTGTGGATCACACAAAGAGTTGCTCCGTACGGGAATCGAACCCGCTACACGTTGCGCGGCAGCCGGTTGCCGAGCCACCGCGCCAATCGTGCAGTCAACAAAACTGGCGTTTATAAGTGACTAGCTTTTACCCGCGGCTTCGCTCGCGTCACAAAAGGATAACAAGTTGCCTATGTGACATATACCGATGTACACAGGGCCATCTATCTATACCAATACTTTTGTTTTCCCTCGGGAATATCAATTTTTTCCGGGATAAAAAGTACCCTATTATTTAATCAGGACTTCTAACTTTACGTCTGCAAAAAATCAAAGCAATCGATTTAGCAGTTACGGCGTGAAAGCGAAACAAACAAACAAACTCACTTTCCGATTTATAATATTAGTAAGGATAATAAATTTTAAATGAGTAAAAAAACCCATTACCTCTCATTAGGGAAAACTAAGCAATGGTTAAAATAAAGTTATAGTATCGTTGATTAATACCAACATAAAGTTTGGGAACTATGTCACAAAGACAATGAGGTATTTAGTTATTTCGATAATAAAAATCGTTGGTCAGATGTTACTATTGAGCGGTAACTAATCATCAACTTCAGACTTTATTACGAGTCATTAAAGTCGATTAAAGTTTGACTAAAATTAAAAACATCGCTAGCTATATTCTTTTCACTAATGGACGTATCTAGGCTTCTGTAATAGCTATTGAGCTATAATTTGATTTCCACTGATATTGTTACTCCGTTTACATAACATACCATAACTCACGCTTTTTACCCCCGAAGGGGTAGGCAGAGGTGCATATTACGGCACTTAATGCCAATGTTCCATGTGACACCCACTTCTTACTATTTATGTTATAAGTCCCATGTAATACGGAGTGAGCTAATTGCCATATACTGGGCACAATTCCAGATACCGTACTGAGAGTTTTTTAAAAACCCAGTAGGATATTTTGCACGACTCGGGTATTGAATCCGAGACTCCTTGCCCGGCAGTCTCACTTGCGACCACTCGGCCAACGAGGGAGTCCGTCCGTTTACATAATTACTTATCTATCTTATTAAAATGTAGATTTTATAATAACATTCAATATGTATATAATACTAGCTTCTGCCAGCGGCTTTGCCTTCCCGTGGGATAAAAAGCAACCTATGTGTTATTCCAGACCATAATCAACTACTGCTCCAAATTTCATTCCGATCCCTTCAGCCGTTTTGACGTGAAAGAGTAACAAACATACACACACATACACACACACACACACAAACACACACACACACACACACACACACACACACACACACACACACATCCTCACAAACTTTTGCATTTGTAATATTAGTTGGACATATTTTCACCACATAGTATAAAAAAGTAGCTATCCGCCGTGGCGCCGTCTGTCTGTCCCTATGTATGCTTAGATCTATAAAACTACGCAACGAATTTTGATGCGGTTTTTTTTAATAGATAGAGTGATTCTTAAGGAAGGTTTATATCTTATAATTCTTATACTATTACATAAAGCGGAGTTTGTTTTTTTGTTTGTTTGTTTGAACGCGCTAATCTCCGGAACTACAAGTCTGATTTGAATAATTCTTTTTGTGTTGGATAGCGTGTGAACTGTCATAAGTCATTTTTATCGGATCTCTCGCTCGCACTTAAGCGAGTTGTATGGCATTGTCTCATTCCTTTGACGTGACGGTTCGCACATTTATACTGACCCAACTACCTAACTGGTTACCGGGGCTCCGGCTGGCCGGGGTGGTTTTTAGCCAGTAAGAGTCTGACACTCCCTTCCGCCTCACCCAGGCGGGAGCAGTCATTCGATGATTTTCCCCCCTTAATAAAAAAATACTGACCCAACTATGATTATGTAGTTAAATGAATACAATTTGAAAATTGGTCCTCCATTCAGTTCGTAACAAAAAATAGCTGACAGTACAAAAAATAAAACTATTTTGTAACTAAAATGTTACACTGTCAACAACTAGAATTACATTTACACAATGTACATTTAAACGAAGACATTAAATCTTAAACGTTGAACGGCAAAAGATTGCATGAAATAAACAAATACTGGACAAACACAATAATAGTGTCTATTATTATAATTATAATAATGCTGTAGTAATAAAAGCATATAGGTACTATTACGTGGGACACTGGAGTGTGACACGTACCTATAACAGAGTTGTATACATTATATGTAGGTACGTGGGTATATACAGGGGGAAGTACTCTTAATACTTTAGATAGAAAATTTTACTTAAAGAAGACATTCCTTTATTTTATTTATTTATCATATCATTGACTGCCTCGTTGGCCGAATGGTCACAAGTGAGACTGCCGGGCAAGGGGTCTCGGGTTCGATTCCCGGGTCGGGCAAAGATTTACTGGGTATTTAAAAAAAAATCTCAGTAGTAGCACGGAGTCTGGAATTGCGCCCGGTATATGGCAATAGGCTCACTCCCTATTATATTATGGAACTCATAACATAAATTGAGATGAGAGAGAATGAAAAGTGAGAGAGAGAGAGAGAGAGAGAGAGTGAAAAGTGGGTGTTACATAGTACTGTGGCATAATGTGCATCTCTGCCTACCCCTTCGGGGATAAAAGGCGTGATGTAATATTATGTATTTATATAAAATGGTGAACCAAGTAATTAATTGCTCGAAATAGGTTCCATTTTCTTGGATACACAAATAAATAATACAAAATTCCATCCTATATATGTGCAAAAAACTGCAGACTAAATATAAATTTGGCGTTCCGCAGATAATATACATTTGGGAGCAAAGAAACGGGGACACTAGCTCTTTTTTTTTCGTTTCTTGACAAATATTTTATTATACAAGTACTTTATTAATTGGTAACACTACATAGTATAAAACAAAGTCGCTATCCGCCGTCTGTCTGTCCCTATGTATGCTTAGATCTTTAAAACTACGTAAAGGATTTTTATGCGGTTTTTTTAATGGATAGCGTGATTCTTAAGGAAGGTTTATATGCAAAATACATGCATATTGCACCCGTGCGAAGCCAGGGTGGGTCGCTAGTGACGTATAAAAGGCAATTTAGTTACCTTTAAAATGGAATATATTTTTTAAATAGTAAAGTGTTCGATGAAATGATAAAATAATACATGTGTATTATTCTGTCATCAATTCACCTGCTAAGCCTGGATATTGTCGCGGAGAACCTAACAGTCGCGGAGAACCTAACGGTCGCAGAGAACCTAACAGGTTACCGGGGCTCCGGCAAGTCATTCGATGATTTTCCCACCTTAAAAAAAAGCCTGGATATTATTATAGCAAAACTTCTCATGTAGAGAAGGCTCAATACTCCAGCTCAATACGGTCACGGTGTT